CATTGATTGTTTAGTGATTGACTTACTCAATGTTATTCCCGAGATTTACAGGCCGTTAGAGAGGGTTCTGAGCCAAAATTCAGTGAAAATCCTACTCAAACCTACTCCTATTATTTAAATTCGACTCTCCACATTTGTCACATCAAAATACGTTTTCCCTTATTTCATCAGTTCGGACTTTCATTGTCTGACATAATGTAAATTGATTTGAAATCCCTGAAAAAAAATCAAAAAGATTAACCGAAAATAACAATTTCATTAAACAAAAACTGAAATTACATAGAAATAACATACAACAGCAACCAAACAATATTATATTAGACAATGGAAGTCCGAACTGATGAAATACACCACGAAACATTATCAACCACCTTCAAACAAACGTTTTTCCTTGTGGTCGATCGACTAATTTTTCAGGCCGTCTGATGGCATTCGAAATTATGTTCATTTCGTAGAATCAATCAACAGATAAAACATATATCAATTTGATATATCTTTTTATGTCTTGAACACCATTTCCACATATGGCAAGCCTTGTAAAACTCGGAAATAAGGTTCATCTTACAGAATCGATAATCACGAATAAACCATCTCAATTTGACAGGTATACAAAGTCGAATTTTCGGGACAAGATTTTTTAATTTTTTTTATGATATTTTAACCTGACCAGAAGGTCTGAAAAACCCAGGGTACCACTGATTTCCATGAGCATCATCATTTTGAAAACCAATCATTCCTACTTAAACGTTCTGCGAAAATTGTTGCGGAAAATAACTTTCTCTAACGTGGGGATTTTCGTCGGTCCAAAAATGGTCATAAAAGCATCTCGTGAATGAAATATTTGCGTCGTCCAGCTGCAGTGCAATCTTCCTGGTATTATTTAAAGGGTCTGCTTCCATCGCATCAAGTATAGCTTCTTCTAGTTCAGGCGTTGTTACAGTTTCAGAAATTCCACCACCTGCATTTTTATCAAAACTCCCAGCTTCACATAATCTTGCATGTAGCGTTCTGAATGTTTCAGCACATGGAATAACTCTGTTAAGATATCTGTCCTGACAAATTCTCCGCGTTTCCTCCGCATTTCCATTTGCTAATTTATAAATAGAGTGCATGTCAGCCATTTCAGCGTCATTAAAATTATTCATGATGGAATCACTGCTATTTGACAACTCTGACTTTCACTGATATGACAACACTATCATTTGATAGTTCGTACCGGAACCTCTAGCGGAGAATGAATCTATTGCAAACACTTTACCAACACCAGAACAAAAATTACGGTTTGTCGACGCGCGTTTCGCTAACCAAGCCAGCGTTCTCAGGAGACCATTATGACTGAACTCCTGAGGTCGCTAACTTGGTTAGCAAAACGCGCGTCGAGAGACCGTAATTTTTGTTCTGGTGTTGGGAAAGTGTTTTCGATAGAACACTTTCACTGTCAGCTAGTCTCCAAAGCAGGTGTTCATGATATAAGTAGTGGCTTTATTTTTTTCTCGAAAACGAAGCTAGGCATGAAGAAAACACAAGCGAGGAAAAAGTTGTATTTTTAGCTGATGAATCTAAAAAAAATAAAAACTATAAGTCAGTGGCGTACTTTTTTTCCAATGTTGTTGGCTGTAGTGCCCACTGAGACGCCATTGGACCTTAAAATTCCAATCTAGTTAGGGCTAAAAAAGCGCATCATTACTTCAGATAGCTGTAGCAAATTTCAACCAAATCGGTGTAAGGATATTTATGATTTTATGAATACAGTTTTTTTTAACTTTAACACCCTGTATCTCAGGAACGAAGCAACTCCGGACATACGTTTATAGGAACTTTTTTTTCTTAAAACGACCTAACGAATCACCCTCTGAAGTTTCGTACCGTAGTTAAGAACCACCGTGTATACTGAAATTGTGATTCAAACATGTTGGAAAACTAAAAAAGCCTAGTAACCTTTGTCAAGACACAATCAACCGCTCAGAGCTGCTTATCTAATCAATGTTTACTTGAGATAGAATTTTATTAAAAATAAATTTCACCAACTAGCAAAATGACGCGAGTCTTATCAAAAATGGATTTGGAACTGAAAACAAGAAATCGTATAATTTTTGCCTTCAATTCGGGAGACTATTTCCAAAATTTGACACAATATAATTATGTGAAACATCAATATGAAACATTGATGTAATTGTTTCATGAATAAACATTGTGACCCAGTACTTATGTAATAACAATTGTTTATTTTGATATCAAATAGTAGAATTTGTAAACCTCTGATCCCAATATAGCACTTCATTTCAATTAGTATTCACTTTTATTCTATTCATTGTTTGTTTTTCTGTTCCGATTGATATCACAATAAATTTAAGATTGTCTGAGGTAATCATATATCGAGCTGTAACGAAATTTATAGATAGAATAGATCGTAAATTCAAGTACCAATATTAAAAAATGCACATTTTGAAGAATTGAAAAGGGGTGTTTATTGTAAAATATACATCTAATTCGGTAGTGTTAATTACTGCTTTTTAAATAAATATAATTTAGGATACTTCACTAGAAAACTAGTATATATTTTCTGAAATTTTAGTTGCTAGTTGCATTTGAGTACTAATACTTATTTTGGTCGGATTATGATGCAGGTTATGATTGAATTTATCAACAATTCTGGTAGAAAATCACCTTCGTTGAGCCAGTATAACCATTTTCGAATTTGGAGCAATTTTTGCTACGAAAATCTCAAAAAATCGAATAAGCCGAGTTACATACAGTTCCAAAATTATTGGAAGGAATGTCACTTAAGAGCGCACGTTCCAGAAAGCAATTATTAACGATCTTAATATTGATAATTACAGCATTCTTACACTAGTCAGCGATATATTACTTTATATTTTTGTCATAATATATGTAAGCATTGCCATTGATAGCCATTTATGGAAATGATTTGTTACAATTGTCAATAATACTTAAATCCTGAGATCTGCCCATCATTTCATATGTGATCAGATGCACCAGGGGATCGATAGAAGCGCCGATTTAAAGAAAACATTTTAATGTTTATAGAATTTTCACACGATTAATTTTCAAGAAAAATATTTCGTATATTATTCGTATATATTCACATAAAGTAAAATTTATTATTATCCATCATCAGTGTGTAACAAACATAGTTTAAACATTCTTGGTTCGGTCTTTAAAATCATTGTTCCTGAAACTTTTTGCTTTTATGTGGTTATCAATCTGAGCCAGTCCGACCCTTAGTTTCCAATAATTTTCACGCGATTTTTTAAATCATTTCCAGTTAATGTGTATTAAATAGACACATAGTAATTGGATTATACATAATAATATAATGGGAATATCGATTATTTTCGCGGTTGGTCAGCAAAAAAACAAGTAGTTTCTTGTCAAACAAAATTTATAAAAAGCTGCATTTTTTTCAGGAAAAGATACATTCTCTGAAATGAAAAAAACAACAGGTTTGTGAGTCAAGTTTGTCCACCCTATCTCATTGTTATTCCACATGAGAATTGAAATTATGCAAATGTATTTATAAAACAAGTGTGCCCTTGAAGCAAGTGGTACAGAAAGTTTTATGGGAACCTGGCAAAGGGAAAAAGCAGTTATGGAAAGAGTGTGTGTATATATGTAAGAGGGTCGGATATTGGGTTTATAGGAAAAGGGTTTATATTATGTGGGTGTACGGAAATGCTTGACGTCACATCTGCGACACGTCAGTTGATTGTATAATGACAAGTGGGAGATGAAGTAATCATAATATATGTCAGAACAAGTTCAAGGACACAAATTGCATGTTATCAGCGTTGCCGTTGGGTGGGTAATTATCCAACTTGCAGATAATTCGCCTCAATCTTTTAGACTTTTTCAAGTCAGATGTTCATCTGATGATAGTTTGATTCTTCAAGAATAAGATTCTGGCTGATTGACTTCAGATAGACTATTATAGACACTCGGCAATCCGGTGAACTTTGCCAGAAATGAGAAGACTTTCAAAAAGATAAAAGGGAAGAAGATGAAATCTGATTTTGAAAGATCATTGATTTTCTGCTTGCTATATGTTTCAACAGTTACTTGTAATCTTGAAAACATCTCGTTGAAATTATAATGAAAAGAAAACTAACATCTGAATTTATACAAAAATCTATCCAAACTCCAAAATACTAACAAGCGCTTTGCTTTAGTTATGGTGTCTTTCAGATCACCAAAAGTTTGATCTGATGATGTTTGGATTTTTTCCGAAACATCATCAATCGGTTTTATAGGAAAAAGACTTTGTTTGAAGTACCCATTTGCTAATTTATAAATAGAGTGCATGTCAGCTCACGAAACAAGAGTTGTAAAAGAGCGAGATATGTATGTGATTTTTCACGGGTCCAGTATTTATTAAACAACGGACTTAAGCCCTTCACCATTAACTTTAAATGATGTAAATCTAAACGTCATCTCTGTAGACATGCAAAGTGCATGTGATCACTCCATATGTTCCGCGAACGAATTATATGTCAATTGTCTTGTCAACAGTTGGTTGGTATAATAATTTGTATTGCTACATAATCTTAATCAATACTCAGTCGGCACTTTCAAACACCAAATCAAACTAAAAAATGGATAAACAAAAAATCAACACCATGTAACAACTGACACTTATGACAAATAATCAGAATAGCCAATTTAGTAAAAAATAAATAAATGATGAATAAAATAAAAAAAAGGTGCTAACTACAATTGAAAACGGTTATTGTGGATATTATACGGATAATTTATTATTGGTTTTGGATAATTTCTGCTTGACTTGTGGATAATATGACAATTGAGCTGTGGCAACACTGTATGTTATGCTGTTGCCACCAGTAGTCCAGGGGTTCGTGCAGGGCTGGGGCCGGTCCTGTCAACATGAACTGGTAAACAAACTACTGCACGTGGCTTCCTCCTGCCAAGACGGGGAGTTTAGGAGGCGGCACACGTGTATCAGGGGGATGTTATTCGGAACTTACCGTCGGCTGCGTCCTGTAGGATGATGCTGGTGGCGCGCCTCCAGGAGTCGGGCCCGGTGCGTAGCCCTGCTGGATGGGTTTCTGCGAGGGCCAAGCCTGATTGTAGTGGTCAGGATGGCCGTAACTGTTTGGATATCGATGCGGCATCGTATTGGTGCTTTGCAATAGTTGATTAAGGGTCGGTGTCGGGCCTGGGGGCTGAGACATCGACGGACCCGTTACGAAACGTTGATGAGGCTGAGGAGGCATTTGTTTCGGCGCCCCGAACGGCTGCCGCGGCCCGAAAGCGTGCATGCCGCCTTCCGCGCTGTTGTGCACGTCTCTGCCGTAAGGAAAACTGTAAACGTGCCCGTCGGCGGCAGCTGGCGGCGGGGCTGGAGAGCCTTCTGCGGAATAGATGCTTGAGTCTGTGGCGGCCGCACTACCTCCGACCGACGGTTCGGTGTCACCGCCGAGGCCTGGTTCGGTGGCCCCGGCGGACGTGGGGCCCGGACCGGAGTTCGTCTGTGCCGTCGAGCCGCCGCTGCCGTCTTGTCGGTATTGACTCATTTCTATGGCGATGTTTTTGCCGGCGGTGCTTTTAGCCTTTGTATGCACTACACTGCCACCTCCGCGAACGCCACTCTTATCGGTCCCATTTTGCAACAAGGAATTCCGCACGTTCAGATGCTGATCCGATTGCACTTTCTCACTATTCACGTCATTTTGTTGCTTTTCGGTCTGCGTTGCAGCCATGTTAAGAAAAACGGCTGCGATCTAGCACGGCCGATCGTTGCCAACACCCCGCCGTTATAGTCAACAACGGAAGCTTTTCTTCATTTTGGTAGCCCAATTCGCACCCCAGTCCTTTAAAACACATAATAGATTACTCACTGGATCACCCTCCTTACGTCGAAATTAAATATCGCCACCAAACTTTACGAAAAATCCGAAACGATAGACACATCTGACACACAACTTAATTCCGTATCTACTCCAATAACACGAATGGAGGTTATGGCGGTTATGGGTAGAGGTCCGATCCCTACGCCAGCATTTTACCTCACAATTAGACCGTTTATCTTTCTCCAACTCCACATATTATATCATCCGAATATTGCTTACGTTTCACACGATATTTATAAACAGTAGTTGGAGATTTTTAGCACAGATGCAATCAAAAATCGTTGAAATATCCAAGAACTATTTTTCCATCTGCTTGTTCTTACGCCACTGTGGCGCTGTTTCCAAGCGTAGAGTTGCAAACGCGCTCATTTTTCACAGGACCAAAATGGCGGGAAGATTCAAATTCTGCTCCTGTTATAATTATTCTAACATTTAGCACTGATTTTCATTACTACATCGTACCTACTCAATTTATTAGTTATGAAATGATTGTCGGATATCATTTATACATTTTCAATTATTTTACTTTCTTATAAAAAAAGTATCATTACAAAATGGCATGTTGACAATACAAAATTTCTGTGAATTGACAGATTTAACAAGACTTGATTACCCTCGCGTAACATTTTTCAAATTTATCACTTGACGTATTCGAAATCTGACCAACAGATACATTTCAAGTGTCTACTTTTGGAAAATCTCTATTCACTAAGGATTTATTAATTACGAATATTTTCACATTCTTCAGGAATTTGCTATCAATTTCGCTATTCCAAATGAAGTCCTCTATATATTTCCATGAGATTTGTTCTCCATAATGACTTTAAAGAATAATGAACCTTCATCATATAGTATAGGATATATTTGAATACTACAAATATGTACTCCCCACAGTATTCGGTTTGTTTTTAAATAATGAAAAAATATTTTTATCTATTGGAGGTGTGTAATTCAAGAAGGTAAGATACAAAAATAATATCCCTTGATTTAAAAAAATATAAATTTTTCTTCACAGATTTCGGTGTTTTTGCCTACTCCCTGTGAATGAAAATCATTAGTGGGTATTTGCTTAATATTTTTTAATCAAAAACAGTATTTTTATATGAGGTCGAAGTAAAATGTAGGTTCCTGCTTGATAATGTGGAATGTAGGCAGAGTTGCCATCTTTACCTTAAATTTTCAGATTTCTGTTTGTATCCAGCATTAAATACATCTGTACACTTTTTAATGAAAAATGCTGTCGAGTTTTAAAACTAACTTACTGAGGAAAATAAAATCTTTTTGTCAACGTAATTTTGTTCGTAGTTTTTTGGACAACTGGAAAATGCATCACCAGTTCAACAAAAAAAAATCATGAACGCTAATATGGTTTTGAAACATATTTTCGTACACTTTTGTATTATCGGTATTTGTTATAGCATATTAAAAAAAAATATTAAAAAAGAAGTATTTTGCTTTAGATGATATAGGGCAGAAAGAGACTTGAATGAAGTGAAAGCGAGAATTTTTTTTCTTCAATTTCAGTTTCTCCTTGAATCATTTCAATATATTTTGAATCATTCCACCTTAGGGTTTAAATAAAATAAAGGAACCAATAAAACGCAATCAATTTAAAAAAGAGTTTAATTTGACAGTATTATGTTTTGTAAGTATAGAAAATACTATAAATATGACACAACTAATTCAAATTATTTCATATTTCAACATTTTTGGTTAGGTTACTAGGAAATATAAATTATCAATATATATTTTTTTCGTCATAGCATGTAATTTCGACAAGATGACCATAATAGCAATAAATTATTTTTGGAATCGTGTGTCACTACAACTGCATCCTTTACTGCATCGTTATTGCTATAAGCATATAAAAGTGTAACAATTTTCATGAGTCAATAGTTCATGATCATGTGCTGTTTCTTCTACATGATAGGCACATTTCCACTATTACAACATTTTCAAAAATGTATTTTTACTGAAAAGCATAATGAACAAAGTGAAATAAATACAATCTGAAATACACATCTGAGACAATGCCATATTTGAAAACATTTTTACTTGCTAAACACCTACATAATCTTCCTGTCACAGTAGAATACAATTCACAGCAGAACCACTTATTTTGTGGGGTTTTTAAATCAAAAAAGCCATCAGAGGATTCAGATGAAATTAATTTGAAAGTAATAACAACATTTTTATCAATAACACACAAAGCCATAAGGTATTCTGAAATTGAAAAACAATACATTCTGATTTGAAGGTACAGCTTATTGTTTTAATTTTTGTGGAATCTGGGTTCAACGGCAACTTTTCATAGCAGATTCCATAGCCCTTGCCTTACAATTCTACAGAATTTTTAATATTTTCAAATTGTAGAAAATCAGGTTCATTATTTCTCAAAAATTTGTGTTAGATGCACCATCACTGTATTTATATTATATACCCACACCCCCTTTGTAATTAGTTATTATGATCTTTATTGATTATATTTGAAATTCAACCTACTTGAAGTAAACAAGTCTTATGCTGAATATCTCCTATAAAAATACTTGAGAGACATTTCTGAACGGCCAGTCTAAGCTTCACTATAATATTCATCAAATCTTTTTGATATGAAAGCACTACTTTTTGAAGAATTTGCAACAAAAACTATTACTTCTATAGAAGTCAATAGATTACAGAATTATCGTTTTACTTCAAATCACAACCATGGAATATAATGAAAATACACAATATTTGAAAGGTATCTATTTATCATATGATAAAAAAAAATTGAATAATGAACAAGTTATGTTTATAGTCATTACTCATTCGAGATTTAGAATAATTTTCAAAAGCCACCTTTTGAAAACTCTCATTCTGAACATAGACCACTACAGTCCACTCAAATACAATGACTGTGACACATTTATAACCATAAATATTCCATATCCTTGATCAACAAGCAAATACAAAAACATAGTCTCTCACTTTTTAGTAATCAATCTTTTGCCTTTCATTGTCGAGGTACTTTGGTTAATTTTTTACTCAACTAAGAACCTTTGTGAATTAAAAACCCCATCATGAGGACCCAAACTCGTTCATCCATCTTTCATATTTTTCCAGATCTTCCATACTAACACTCTTATTATTTTTTACAAGGGCTTCTTCAAAATCTCTCATGGTAACTGGTAGATCCAGTTCTTCCTTAGGCAGCTGCTTAATCTGATCAGGTCTCAATCCACATATTTTTCTCCGCATTGACATCATTGAAGCATCACGACATACATTTGTGATGTCGGCTCCAGAGAATCCATCCAACCTTTTTGCAATCGTTGTAAGATTTATATCAGGGTCCAACTTTACCTCACGTAGGTTAATTTTTAGTAAAGCTTCTCGGCCGTCAAGTGTCGGCAGCGGGATGTAGATACGTTTTTCTAACCGTCGTCTCAAAGCTTCATCTATATCCCACGGAAAGTTTGTTGCGGCAAGTACCATGACAACTTTGCCCGGTTCATCATTATTTGCAGTGATTCCATCCATTTGCACGAGAAGTTCCGATTTTACTCGCCTTGAAGCTTCGTGTTCAGATTCAGAACCTCTCCTTGAACACAAAGAGTCGATTTCATCTATGAAAATAGTGCTTGGAGCGTAGAAGCGAGCCTTTGAAACAAAGATGCGGAAGTGAATTAACAATATTTTGACACAACAGTTTGGATAAATAATGGGAATGGCTATCTTTAGTTATAACGAGTTAATCTTAAAATTTTAAACTGTTTGGATTTTGGATTAAAAAACGTTATAGATTAATGCAAACATTTTTTCACAATCATTTGATAATAATGAATTTTGAAAAATAGTCATTATTAAGTTGAGGAGAATGTGTCAAGTCTACTTTGAAGATAGTATGTGATGATGAATAAGAGCCAAAAATTTCACCAAAAGGTAATAATTTTCAAAAATATACAACTAGAAATCTGTCTGATACTAACATTGATCTTGGAGCTAACCGATCACATTTTTTCCTTGCTCTCGATCTAATTGAGCACTCAAAAATGTATTAAACAAACACACCTATTGTGACTAGGACTGCAAACACCATAGCCTCAATAAAATTCTGTTGAATATAAGAACAATCATTATTTTTTTATTAAATTTCAGAATCATTGAGAAATGTACTAATATTGATCTTCATGAAGGTTTACAGAGAAAGATAATACTCTTGTGATTGCCTAAGTAATTTTAACAAGGAAATGCAATTTGCTTACACTGAATTAAATGGCATTGGTAAAAGTTTCATTTTTTCACATCTTTCTTATTAGCTTTGAATTTATACAACAAACTTTTTAAATGGGGTTATCAAATCTTCAGAATGAAAATTTGATTCAATTTAGCGCTTACCATTTCAAACAGTAACCGAACCATTTTCTCTGATTCACCACGATACTTGGAAGTTAATGTCGAAGATGACACATTGAAGAAAGTAGTTCCACATTCTGTAGCAACTGCTTTAGCTAACATGGTTTTTCCTGTACCAGGAGGCCCAACCATTAATACCCCTTTCCATGGCCTTCTTATACCTGAAAAATGATCAATGAAGTTATGATCTTTCATTGTTAGACTGCACTGAAATATTAAAAAAATTACACACTCATCACAAAGTATGATAGATTGTATTAAAGACAGTAATAGTTATCACATTCAAGACTTATGATGGATATGACTTCTCAACACTAATGTTTTGTAAGATGAAGACAATTATTTTGGAATACTGAATTTTGAATTAAAATTTTGTATATCTGTTTTCTTCATTCACTCTCTATAAAAGGATGCAAAGTTTGAAGAGACAAAAAATAGAAAATGTTTGGTGTAATTTGAATTATTCAATAAAAGAACTTGTAACTGCTACAGTATGATTGAATTCCACAATTCAACCTATATTTTTTCTAGTTTATATCAAATTGTATATTTCTTCCATATTTGATATGAACCTGTATCTCAATAACTAACCAATATAAGGACGATTTAGGCAATGTAGTCCTTGTTTCAAACCTCTGTCTCAATTTTATTATCAGTCGTCTCGAGAAATTTATGATGGGTCACTTTATGCAGTATAATTTTCAAAATTACCACAAGTGACATGTAACATATTTTTGCTGATGATAATCTGCATTCATTTGAAAAAAGAGTGATTTTTCTTGTTGAATAATGCGATATTTTTCAGCACCCATACATTTTCTTTTAAATAATATTATTCTGATCTCCCTTTTGTTTTTTCATTTTATTACTGACTATGATGAACTTGATGGGCACCCATGTACCTTCTGGGTAAAAAGTTATCTAACGAAAATATTTACAGGCGGTGATCTAAACTTTGAATGATTCCCTAATAACACCAACTTGTCTGTTGTTTCGAGGTTTCACTAAATAGGAGCATCTTCAGACTTCAGATAAATAAGCTATTCTATAGTGAAAGATATGTTACAGTTTTTCAAACTTATACTGAAAATAGCATATTAAAGTGTTACTCAAATATAGCATTAATCATTGGTCAGTTCCATCACAGATGTTCAGACGAACATCAGAACTGAAACATACTGGTACTACTTCCTAAATAATTACTTTTACAATTTGGCCTGATATCAATACCTTTGAAAAAATCTGGCATCCACATGGGTAAAACAACAGCTTCTTCTAATAACCTCTTGGCTTCCTGAAGATCTGCTATATCATCCCACCTTATATTTGGATTTTTCTGAACAATATCTCTTTCCAAAGTATCTGCCAATTCTCTTTCCATTCCATGACATTCAAATTTCTTTTCTTCTTCAGGTTCAGATTTTTCATTTTTATCTGTACTTTCTTGTTCTTTGTTATCTCTCTCAGGTTTATTATCCATAATTTTTTCTGAACGTGAGGAAGAAGGCCTTTCCTCCTTTTTGACTGACCTTGAATATCTGGAAACCTCCGATTTTCTTGATGTATTTGAAGAACTTGCTCTTGACGACCCTTTCTTGATATCAATTTTTCGTACATTTGAGATCCTTGATTTTGGACCATTACTACCAATGAAAATATGTTTTAAAGGAAAGCTAGAATTGTGTAGTTTCTATTTTCAATTTAGTTCAGAATGGAATAATTGTTGCCTTCCATTTCAAAACATACAATGTTTTTTTTCAGAAGTGAGTCAATGCTTGATATATTCCACTCATAGAAAATGTAGTAGAACTGGGTGTGAAAAAACTTGTTCTAGAATCATCATATGAAATTTCACAGACTTACTTTAGTGTATATGTACAAATAATTTATAATACTGTGGTTGAATTAAATAATCTGACAAAAGTGTGCAAAACTGACCAAACACTGGACTCAATAATGCAGAACATTGGTCCATGTTACAAATAATGTAAGAAAAATAATAAAAAATGTGAGTTCTTCAAAAGTAGCAAAGTAAAATGCAAATATATGACAGCTATTGCAATTTAAAGCAATGAAATATAATGAGCTATTTACCTGTGATCTACAGGAGTTGGTGGCGGCCAAACATCTGGGTCAGTTTGAGCAAATGGATCAATTGTTGATAAATCGTTGAAATCTCTGACAGGTTCATCTCTTCTTCTAACACCAATGGGAACTTCTACGCTTGTTTCCATCCTCAGCGTTTGCAACATAGTTTTCAAAACTTTGACTTGATCATACTCAGTACTTACTTTTTTTTGGACCTATAAAATCAGTATTGATAAAATATTTCAACTGATGAAATAACATGTAATGCACCTGTTGCCATTTATTTTTCCTTAATGGTTCCGAAATCATCATTATCAGTCTAGATATCATCTGGAGGGTTCCTTCATAATATACCTCAGCACTTTCATAATTGCCGAGCATGGACATTTAATCGTTTTGAGTATGGGATGTTATATCTTCTGATAAAGATGTTTATTGAAATTTGTTAATTTCCAATACAGCTGCAAACTGCAATACCTAAAATTGACGTTTATTTTGAACTACCTTGAAATCTTGATCTGCAAATCTGCATTCAATTTCGAGTTGACGTTTGACGCCCAATCGAGCAGGGAGTGCAGTGACGGGCGTGTGACCTATGACAGTATGTTCCGAAAACCCCATTTCAAAATGAATGGTAATAAGTGGAAAAAAGGATCTCTGGATTCATATAACCCACTAGACAAAATGAACTTCGCGCCGAATAAATTGAATTTGACGAATAGAAGCAAGTCGTCTTTTAATATTGTTCCAGTCAAAGTTTTTACTTGGTTTACGTTTTGGTTTATTAGGTATTTTCATTGATAATTGTTATAATAAACCTGTTTAAACCCGTGTAGCTCATTGTTTTCATTATCTTAACTGAACTGTTGATGACCCGAAATGATTAGTGACAAAAGGTACGAAGTCATTAAAATTCTTAATTAATTTTTTAGTTTTAAATGATAAAATTGAAAATCGTATTATTCTACTCATCTGGATATGCTAGATGTAACATAATTTTTCACTCTTCATTTACACAAACTATTTGATCCAGGGAATTTTTGTATTTTTCTCCAAACACATAAAGGTCAGCTAATAACCTTTCAAAATAAGCCGTTCAAGTATTTCAATTTCAATCTTGTCATCTGCCAATTGTTACTCTCAGCACAAGGAAATAATCGGTTATTATTTTGACGTTTGGTTATTTGTTCTGGTTCAGGAAACCGTATTCAATATCTAACGGGTTTTTCGTTAGTACCTCAATAGTGGTGATTTTAAAACAACACAACATTTCCGATTACTTTTGGAATATATCTCAACTGAATGAAAAGAATTGTTTACTGAAGAATATTTCATTATTCGAATTCGTTACTAATCAACATCGAACTATTAAAGTTTAATCATCCTGGTTTATCAATTGAGTTTGTTTTGTATTTGAAGAGGAACTATAAATACGAAGAAAGTATGTTGGCAACATTAGTTTAGTTCCACGTTCCCGGAAATTTCAAGGCAGCTGGCAGCTTCAAATTCCAAATAAAACCTTGGCGATTTGTCGTCAAAGAATAGCTTATTTTATTTTAGGCATTACATTTTTTTTATGAAAATTAAGTGAAGATGGCAACAAAGGGGTTGTATTATACCCCTCCAGGAACAGACGGATCGGAATATGCACACAGACAACGAGTGGCTAGTCACTATCAAACAAGGTAAAAATATAACCTCAAATATAGTAATAATATCTTTGCCAACAATTTTGAGTTAATGCCAAAACCTCAATTTATCAAATAATTATTAATTAGCTTTTGTTTTAGTGCTTTAAATAAATCAAGACTCAAATATTGCATATTTTTCCACTACTTGTTGTTTTTTGCAATGTTGGCAAAGCTCTCTGCAGATATATTAGATAAACTAGATATATTTATATTAGAAATTGAAGAACTTGACATTCCTAAGGTGAGTGCTCGAAATTTTTGTAACTAGACATAACACTAATACTTTTTATAGCCGTTATGGTGGGAATATATATGGTGTATAAGTCTCCTGTTATCCTTTATGGGTTTGGATGCAATCAAAAAGAATAAAGTTACTCCGATGAGAAATTATATGATGGGCCTCACTTTATTTGGATTCCTCCCACTACTTTACGCTATTATTTACTACTTTCCAGATGTATGGACATATTTGACATTCGAGGAAGAAGAGGAGTTAGAAGAAATCCACTTGTGGCAGGTAAACACATCTTACCACAGTGTGGTAGGCAAAAGTACAGTGTTTCCAAGTTATACCTAATTGATAATTCAAACCTGAATGTAAAACTAGCATATTGATTTTTTTTTCCAGAAGTTTTATGTTTGTATGATTTAGCTGCAGAATAAGAACATGGTACTAATACTTTCCCTATGTCATAACATTTTCAATGCAATTTAATTCTTTTAGCATTACTTAATTCAAGGGTATCACTTCAATATATTAGAAAAAAACGACCAATATTAGTTATAATTCGTCTCTCATCCAACTGTTCCATTCCTATTTGAATTGTTGAACTAATATGACTTTTCATAATTGATCTGCCTCAACACTATATCTCTGGAATCCCTTGTAGTCTTTGCTCTTCTTTAATCATCTCACATCTGGACTTTCTGTGGAAATCAACTTTTTGAAGAAGACCTAAAAATCTATTCAACTATTTCTAACTATGAAAGTTGTGTATATCTGCAAATCTAATCTAAACATTATAGAAAATGGGTCAGTGTAAATGATTGAGTGTGCCTAGAAATTACATTAAAATAAAATATTTTTACTTATTCAGTAGTGAAATGATCTCTAGTGAAGATTCGGTCGGAGATCTAGAAATTCTGTTTGACAGTAAATTAACATCACATTGGTCATGGCATCAGCTCATAAAAACACATGATTTTATATAACTTTTTTATATAACCTAACTGTAAATCTTTAATTAATGTGTGTTTTAATACAACTATATTTTTGATTTGTTAGATCCAAATTGAAATATGCCACTTTGGTTTGGTATCATGGATTTATGTGATGGTTTTGTAAAATGGGTCTGGTCTGTACTTGCCATCAATACTTGAGGGTTTTTTTACCCTACAGTGTTTACAAACTATGACCAAAATATGTATTAATTTGGTGTATCTCAGAAAATCCTTTACTTATCCAGGTAATGAGCTTGTAAATCTGGTAGTCTGGTAGGTAGGCAACTGTGAAACATCTATGCCACAGTAAATAATAAGCACATATAGCTTTGCAATGTGGGCATACTGCCATAAGTGTTGATAGGATGCAATTTATTAACTAGAACCCCCCAGAAAGCAATATCTTTAGGTACACTTGGTCAGGGTTTGATTGTTATTATATGCTCCCTCTAGATCAGATAGTAAAGATGTGTCACTTGATTAAACATGAGATTTACTTGCAATACTTTCCATTCCATTGGTCATTCCTACCCCTAGGCTACAAATGAGTAACGTTGAAAAAAACTATTGTAAAATCGCGATACCATTATTTGCATTCTAATATATATAAATTTTTGTTTCCAGGGTTATCCCTATGGGTTGTTGTGGTATGCATTTATTCTATTGGCAATTCAAGTACATATGTTTTCAATGTATTTTGCGTGGAATTTGTTAACTGCCTGGAAATCAAAAGGTACAAAAAAATATGAATAGCAGGTTCAAGAAACATTTAATTCTGAAAGACATTTTGCTCATTCTTGTTTTAATAAAATATGTTATTTCATAGATCTTCAACACATACTTAGACAGTTTCATACATATTTCATTTATATTAAAAACCAAATTAGTCTCAAATTTCTACAGAAATTTGTAGTTTACACATATGTTCAAAATTTTCATCATGAATGAATAATGTCTGTCAAATGTTGTCTCAAGCCGTTTGGCTATTAATTCTTCATTTGTCAAAAAGTGTGTTCACAATATTGTTGAAAATTTTCTGAAATGTATTTTGTGTAAGCATGTTAATGTATACTTATATGAAACATCAACATATATGTATTAAAATCTATTTATTTTTTAAGGTTTTTTTATTGTGAGGTAATGAGGTTTTTGGCATTGAACATGCCATCGTACAAATATCAAACAATTGATTTCAGTTTGGCAATTTTTCAAATATACCATTTGAAATTAAATGGCTCTCATTATGCCANACACACAGCCATTATGGAATCATTAACAATAAAATTTTGAAGACTGGCTTTTGAAATATTCTTTCACTTTTATTCGTCCAAGACAGTTTAATGAAAAAACAAGCTTCTGCATAAGATGGGTAATTTTCAAGAAAAGAAATCGAGCTTTATCACCATGTCCGCGTTGGGTACGTATGAAATTCGGAGTTTAGGTGATAATCATGTAAATATTTCTACAATTAAAAAAATGTGAGTGAATTCAGAAAGACAGGTGGTTGTGTCGAGCTTTGTAAGTCAAGTTTCCACGCGAATGTTTCTTAAATAATGCTCAGAAAACTCAAATTATCGAAGAGGTTAGATGATTACTTCAAAATTTTTGCAAGTATTGATTGAATCAATTGTGATCTAAGGAGGAAACTATTGTGTATAATTGTCCTAATCCAATAAAAAGAAAACTAGTTTCGTTTCCATTCACTTGAGTGACCGCTAATTACTCGAAAAGCAACGAACAACAAACAAATTAACTCATGGAATTCTGGTGAATACTCGTAATACTTTGTTTCCCATTAATTATCATATCTAGTCATGTGTTTGGAACTCAGGGATTAGGGAACCAATATAACGTGAACATTGAATATATGTTCGATATATTCGACTTGTAATGATAGATTCCTCGGATATTTCAACTATTGCTATTGGTGAAATGAATTACTAATTTCTACAGGTCCTTTTTTTTAGATTTTTCATATTCTTATGGACATAAGTAAATCAGATTTGTCCTTCAAGGACAAATGGGCCAGCAATACATTCGTGGTTCAGCTTAGTACCACTGATAAAACCTATAACAGGTCGAAACAGCGGAGTCTACTGTTGGGTCAAGAATGCTTTTTTGGGCTCTGATAATCAAGTTTCTCTCACAATGGCATGAAACATGATGGGCTGTCACGGTCCTTTTCTTACATTACCTGTAGGTAAGATCGTTGTCGGCAGCTTTCTTCATCACATTAGAGATCGCGGTAAACAACAGGATTCTATCAAGAAATTGATAAAACTCTATTTTTTATTTGGGAGAGAATTCTCCGATCCTATATTAAGTAAATTGCAGTTACTGAAAACAAATTTTACCTTATAACTACAAAATATTAGGCTAAATTCTCCGAAATGACTGAAGTTTTCGCCTAATCTGTCTCTTGTGTTGGCGTACGAAAGAAAATTATACTATGAACAGATGAGGAAAAATGATAAAATATATAAAATCACAACCTTGTCAACATTGTTTTCGTTTTAATGCAATAATATTTCTGAGAATTTACTATTATGGAATTGTAATTTAGTTAGCCTATACCTAACCATAGAAAGAGAGGGAAATATTCTTTATTGTCTAAAGAACAAAAATTCTTATTGACAAAGCGTATCTTATGTCAGTAGTTTTAAAAAATAGACACATAACAAAACCCATTAATCAGTCAGAAGATGAAACCTAAATAATTTAAAACAGACATATAACAAAACATGAATGAATAAATGAAGGTAGGTACCTACATCATATCAAATGCTACATCAGATCATTAAAAAAATCAGAAACGCAGTAGTATGGTTTCTTATTGAGTATATAAAGTTTTCAATGCTTTTATAAATATTGTTGAGCTTTTAATTTTCCTTATTTTACAACCATTGTATGAGAGTCTTTGACAAGATTTAAGGTTGGAATATATTTTCTGTCTGCCGAGTACTATAATTCGTTTGGATGGCTTCAAAGCTGTTAATGTGGCGCCTGAAAATGTAGTTTCCAATATGAATATTGCTGCTACTGTCGGAATTGTATACTTAATAAATCCCGAATTTTTTTAATAATAATGATAATTCAATATTATTAATTCAAATTTTTCCTTAATGAGCCTCTGTAACCCAGTCCGTATTTTAAGTTTCTGTTTTTTCTGTTCTGTAATCAAANATCACATTTTATTGACTATGTCTAGTTGTAAAACTTCAGATATCACCAGGAGTTGGCAAATGAAACTTTGCCGAAACGTTGTGTAAATAATCCTTATGAGGATAAAAAACACACGGAGCGAAACCCGAGGAAACAGCTCATCATACTTTGTCCGTGAGAATCTTCGAGTTATGAGTATGAAACAGGATCTTAATTTACTCAATTGAAAATTACCCTTTTATTAAAAAAAATTTGATGAAAAATTGCCGGGAGAAAATAAAGTTATTTCGACTCAACTAATTTCGTACAACATGGATCCGCCCCTGATATATTTCATTAGTTTTCATTAATTAGGAGTTTAGGTTGATTTATATAATATACATATGCCAATACTTTTTGTTATGAAATAGTGGCATGTCAAGGATAGTGCCAATTCACAGTGTAAATTAAATTTTATTATCGCGAGCAATCGCTGGGTTCGATACATGATTGTCCGCCTGACGTGATCTCTAAAGGACATTCAAAGTGATATATCAAATGAAAATTTAATTCTTTAATTGTACATCAACAGTTAGTAGAAACATGATAATTTCAAGTTAATGACAGCAATCAGATAAGATACGTCTCAGTCGCGTTAGTTTTAAGTTTGTCCGTGTCGTTTAGCAACAATAAAAAAACAAAGGAAACAAAAGAAAGATTGGAGTGAAATATACGAGTATACCTACCATATACTTGCAAAATAAAATAATCTTACTGTAGGCTTCGCAACCGCGCAGTGTTCACGAACGCAATGGTTTTAATGTGATTTGTTCTGATTCAACATTCAGCCGTTTCCATGTCCACAACAAAACTATCCGTCGATCTATGTTGATACATCAAGCGTTATCAAGAGAAACCAGACTATCCGAGGGCCAACACTTTTTACCCGCAGTGACAATGATAACTTTTTATTCGTAGATCAGCTGTTTTCCGTTTCCAGTTGCCCGCACGTGTAGTTGGTGTTGTATTCTTCTCGTTGAGTTCGAGTGCCACGAGTTGACTGAAGACGAGTGTTCAAATTTTCAACAATGACCAATCAACAAGAAGCGAAGACTGAGGCCAACGAGCCTTTGTTGAATAACTCAGAAATTATTGGAAACTTGTCTTCGCCTAAAAGGCTCGATGATGTTGACCACAAAATGCAATCACCAGTTAAAAGAATCAAAAGTGAGTAGGACACTCATTTTTAGTGCTTCAAATGTAATCAACAAGAAAATCAAGTACATTCGTTTCTTACGCCAATATGTTATAATTTATCCAGCAAAAATGTCACAACTGTGGAATTTTATGCAAATGTGTACATCATAATATGACGTATACTGGTCATGATAAATTATTAGCAAATATTCCACGAACTGTTTTGTTTACTACTCGATCATTTTAATTTCGTGTTATCATGTACATGGTCTTATTTGACAGAGTGGAACAATTATCGAGATATATTCGGAGAAAATTTTTGAAAACCCGCAGTTTTGAGTAAATAAGTTACCGAAGCAACGACCTACCTGTTTACTACCTAGTCAACAACAGATTGTTAATGATATATATATTCTTATACTGTTGACACACCTCCTGCCGATATCATGACGTTTAAATTTATGAAAGAAAGGAGGGGACGTTGAATTAATGTAATGAGCGTATTGACATTCGGTAGTAAAGTAAATTAAATTTGTGTTACACACCAGTACAAGGGGATTTTTACTATTACATATTTCCCCGGAACAAATTCTTCAAATGACAGAAAAATCACCGCAGATAACTGTTTCCAATGTAATGCATCCGGTGCTGAAAGTACATCAAGTGATTTTCCTTCTTTATCTGTGCACGAGAAAATATATTTCCTCAGGGAGTGTTCTGGGTTTTTTAGATAACTACTCACAAAAATATAAGAACAGAGGCACATCCAGAATATTCAGTTGGAGAGCTGGCATCAGAAAAATGACTGCCCTCTCCTAAATCGGGCCCTAGTTGCAAGAGAGGTAATTTTTTGCAGTTTTCTTGAATAGCTAGATGAACAGTTTTTTTATCGACCTTGGGTATTTTCACTTTCTACAAACTCCTTTGACGTTTGTCGGGGAAGTTTAGAAACAAAGAGAAACAGCAATAAAAAAACTGCTAATATACTTAGATTTTTCACAATTCTGAGGACGGAGGCAGATTTTAGCCTCCGATAAGCATGTTTTTTTTGATAGGTAAAGTTATTAAATACTACAAGTTACTGATAAACAGAACTTCTTTCTTTCTGAAAAATATGAATTTACGCAGTAACGAGGTAAACTAAAAAGATTGACCTTTCTACACGCATATGAAGTTCTCCATTACAATTTTTATATTTTGTGGAAGGTGAAAAAAGTGGAAGTGAAGAAGTGAAAGATCGATAAAAAAATCCACAAAAATGACTTTCGTTCAATAGGTAGATTACCTTCTGAACAACTTACCTTTAGAGGTAATTTTGAAGAGATTGATTTCCAAATAATTTTGTCTGCTAACAGCTAAACTATATTTGCTCAACCTTAGGTTGTTCGACGATATGGTAGAGTAGCTATGTATATCTGATTTTGTGGAGTATTTATGAATGTTATCAAAAGTTTCCAATAGGTTTTAGTGGTAACGATAGTTAGCACCATCTGGAACACCTGGACTGTAAAGTCCCGGGCCTAACGAAATTCTCTCTCTATTTTGGATGGTAGTTGCTTCCTATCTTCAGGCGCATATGACCAATGCTCCTCCTGTTGGTTGGCAGGAGCTTCGTCGGGGGGCGCAGCGGTCTTGCACGAAGCAATGCTGCCACCCATTTTTTTTCGAACTTTTTTTTTATTATAAAAACAATTTCATATTTATGAAGTCGCCTCCTGCTTGGGAGATCTTTCGGTTTTTTCCACATATACAGCCCCATTTACGTGGTTATCCGAACCACTC